ATCTGAACTTAAGTTCCGCGCCGATCGTGATTTTATCCTCTTTTTTTCGCGAAAGTTCAAAGTGCGTCGAAGTGAAAAGTCCCCATCGCAAGAGGGTAGCTCGAGATCTCATTGTTTATTCGTCTCGAGTAGGATATTAAATAATAGCATGAAAATTATATACGAATGATATATATCTTATACAACAAGTTACATTGGGTTAAGGAAAAAGTTCGTCCCGTTTTTTAATCGGTTCTTCGCGGATTACGCAGCTATCGGACAGATGGCGGGTCATCGAACAAACCGGCGCATACTTAATTGATTGGTTTATTTGGAAATAAATCAATGTTACATGTAAATTTCGACTGGAAAAAGAAACAGACGAATTTTTGCATCAACCCGATAGTCCTTGATGCCGCGTAACGTAATACGTTTTTCGAGGCGTTTACATCCTCCAGTGGCTCTAATGACTTTCACATCGGCCGGCATCGCATCCCTCCCGTCAAATTGGATTCCTTTCAGCGGCAGCAGCGGCAGTAGCTGCAGTCGAATGACCTACACGCGTTTTTCTTTAAACGGGACTTCGGGTGAAAAGAAAAGGCGACTTGTGCTCCGTAATTCTCTGACTCAGGTGTGTGCGTGGCAATCTCGCGAAAATTCGCAGAGTTTACTGCGCTCTGTTTGTTCGATGATATTCAAGCTATATAAAGCCGCTTGATTGCGAAGAAATGCATTGATTTTACATGGCGATTCGTATTACTTCGTGTAAGCAGTTACGTTGGAATGCCGTTTGTTATCGCGACCTTTTTAATGAAAGCGTTCCGGATCAACTTTACCTTCGTAATCTTGGCATTCGACTTACGAAAAATTAATCTCTCGATAAAGAACAGGTTAAAAAAATATGTCGGTTGTAGTTGTTTTCGATTTGATAGATCGTTCAAAACGTCCCTTTTTCCGTGGCGTATAGACGATAGTTATATTTTAATAAAAAGCTGTAAAAAAAAGTACGCTCGTTTAGAAAGTCTCTTTGTATCTTCAATAGTTCCGAGGTGGTACAATACAAAAGCGACGAGACTTCGTTGGACAGTTTCACCCTCTAAACTTGTGGATAAAAAAATACATCTCTTTGTGGGTGAAAAAATACATCTCTTAATTTCAGCTGCTCCAAAAATATATCAAGTTTTATAAAAATTGGAGACGGACGGATTTTTCGCCTGTTAGTTGGAAAAGAGGGACACGAAACACCGTTTGTCAAACTTCGCCGTATCATGTGGACGGCAAAAGCGCCGTTTTATCTGAGAATCAGGCTTCATTGGTGTTTCACGCTTTTTCTACCTTTTTACGCTACATTTTATGCTCAGATATTACCCGATTAGCTGGATTTCCTTTACATGCCCTTCTCGTCGCATGACGCCCCTCCCTCCCACCTTTAATCCGACCCTCTCGTTTTCTGAACGGCGCATTAAATGATTACTTTCATTAATTAGCGCGACGTGGGAGCGACTCCGGTGCGGCGTAAGTTCGTGCTCGTTGAGCACATCGGCCGATATTAAAAAATCGTCGTTTTTACGAGAATCCCGCGAACGTCAATGTGTCAAAGCAGGGCTCGCAGCTCGTTAAACCTCATTGAACTGCGTTACACGGTTATCAGCGATAAATTACAAATAAGACGAGCAAAAGCCCGTCTCCATTAGAGATAATGTGCTTTTCGCAGAAAAGAAAACTCGCTTGCAATTGGAGATTTGAACGTTTATTAAATTATATCTTGGAAGCTTCTTTACGTATTGGCATGAAAAAATGTCTGCATCGGACGGATCTCGCTTTGCATGCATATAGAGGCAAATACATAGACAAATATAGAGAGGGACGAACATTTACAAATAAAAATACAGATAATGTTGAAGATGATATACTGAACATAGAAATAATGTATATTTCATACTCGGTAATGCACAGCTTATGGAATCCAATATTTCTTCAATGTGTTACATGTTGTTAAAAAAATGCTTTTGATCGTTTTTTCTTTCATTGAACTTTTTTTGTTAATAAACTTTTTAATGTACAATGTGCGCCTTCCGAAGGTTACTCAGAGTAATAACCTTGGTAACAAATGCGTAGGTCAAGATCATCTGTTTTTTAATATGCATAATTACCGCAAAAAAATTGAAAAAAAAAAAACTTTAATAGATAGGAAATAGGCAGACATAGAAAAAGACACATATCTACATATTTTTAAACTAATTTCTTTTAAAGAGTGTATATTTTCCATTTTGCAGAATTTAATTCTCTCTCTCTCTCTCTCTCTCTCCCTCTCTCTCTCTCTCTCTCTCTTTCGTCATTTTTTTTTTGAATGAATATTTCCGAGAAACCCAAAGATTGATGCATCATATTAAACACGTGCTATCAGAAAATTCTACACGTCGGTTATCTCTCTCTCTCTCTCTTTTAAAATCATTTAGGTCACGCCTCGATAGCGGAGCTAGGGCACTCATGATGACGAGGTATAGACTGCAAAGCACAAACGACCCTTCAGCTCGAACATTCGTCGATCCGCTCGACACGCGTGTACGAGGCAGACACATAAAATAAATAAAAAAAAGCGATATCGAAATACTAAAATCGGCTTTGCAGCAAATTCGATGGCGTTTGAGATCTAACGGATATATCGTGAACACGCTCTCGACCATAATTGCTCCGCATTGAAATTGGATATCGCGACGAGACTTGATGCCGTGTGTTTGAAACATACATCCGTACGAAACGTAACTTCTGAACCGCAACAAACGAAAGATCATGGCGATTGGTAATCCAAGCTCAAAAGCAAGTCGCAAATCGAGAGTTTGTTATTTTACTCATTTATTAAATCGAATTACTATTTCGACTTTTTACATTAACGTTATACTGATCATATTTAATATTTACATTGTATTCATTTATATCGGTTTTGATCATATTTCATATGTTAATCACATTCATTTGATTCTATGAAGGATGTTTTAGATATACACTTATTTTTTATTTATGTCTTTTAAGGGGAAATAAATTTTTCATTCGGTCAAGACGAGCTGAAGGATCGGTGAGCCGTTCAAGTGAGTGATTTATCTTCCGTGTTTTCTTTGTTCTACTTATAACACCGTTACAAGTTATCTTTTTTAAATAATGCTATCAATAATAGCGTTATTTATTTCACTAGTAATAATAATCGTAAGGCAATTACACTTTTATGATAATGGCGATAAATATAACCGTTATTTTTATTGTTATTTTGTATGCGTAGAAAATATTTTTCGCGAACTTTATTACGTATGTGAGGAGAATGGCAATTTCCAGTTATTACAATAAAAATAAAATAATAATTCGCAAAAAACGGTCCTCAAAAATTGGTGAAAAACGTGACGGAAACGTTAACGAATTATTTTTCCAAATGAATAAAGATAACAAGTTATTCTTTTCAATGAATAACAAGTAACAGTAACGAGGTTTAAAAGGAAAAAAGAAAACTTCAGAAAGAAACTTTTCCACGTTTGTGTTACATAAATCGTAGAATAATAAAAATTAATTCGAACAGTTTTCTGCTTGACATACGGAATATAACTGAAATGGATAGTCACAAACTTTAAGAGAACTTTACAAAAAGAAGTTATTTTGAGCAATTTCCGCAATTATAATACTTTTACAAAAAAGAAATGTTTTACCATAAATAAATAAATAAAACGTATACATTTTCGAAAGAACGAATATTTGAATCTTCATATTCATCTGACATTATTTATCCTTAAGATAAATGTAATATTTCTCTCAAGCTTGGATACGTGTTTTTTCTCTTTTTTTGATATTAAACCCTCTATATATAAATACAACGTGCTTCCCAATGACCCGGCCCAAATGGATTGTGCTGCGCATTCTTGGTTGAAATTTGAAACACCGGCATGGGCGTACAGGATCGCACGGCAATCATTCATCGTGAGAGAGAGCACGCGTATAATTATCCGGAAATTATGAAAAAGACCGCGCGCGCGGAGTAATTGAGAGAGCATAAAAAGCCGGAGGAATTCTTACTCGCGTTTCGCGCATCGAAGAGGAAAGAGGCGGAGCACCGTCGTTATCGAATTAAAGCGTCGCTATGCCGATATATAATTCGTCAGAAATATGCGACGCGGTATTTCGCGCAATGTGCACTTTTGCAAAGAGAAATAAATGAAAGGAAAATGCATTTGCGACGCGCACACACACATTTATGCCGCGAGCTCCAGTTACCGCGAGAGCGCCAAGATTTCCATGCACATTTCTCCCTTTTTTTTTCCATAAATATCGATCCGATCCGCACTAGACGAGCTATAAACTCCGATATTCCATGAGACGAGTGTTTGTCTTTCGGCTCGCGGTTTCTAAGTTCATTGATCGTGGCGATGGAGATTTTGAACGGCGAATCTGAGATGAAAATAATACTATATGCGAAAAGATAGATGGAGAGTGAAAGGGGGCGGTGAGAGGGGGGGGGAGAGAAAGAGAGAGAGAGAGAGAGAGAGACACAAATGGAGAGGCGGAGGAAGAGAGAAGCTTCCCCGGAATAATCTATTTATAAGTTCATCCACGACATAACTGGATCGTTCCGTCAAACGTACCAAAACGTACTCGTTTTGACAGTGAGATATGATACGACGGCACAAGTCGGTTCCGATCTGACCGAGAATATTCGCGGGCAGGTACCGATGTGACAACAGCTACGTCGAGGTCGTGGCGCTCACCGCTACGTGCCAGGCATCTTAATTAGCCGCCTTTATCGTTAATCAGCCGACACGGCGGAACAAGTGTACAAGGTAGCGTGGTAGAGGGGTACAGGTCGCCAGAGGGGAGGAGAAACATAGAGAGAGAGAGAGAGAGAGAGGGGGGAGACAAAAAGAAGGGGAAGGAAAGGCAGCGAAGAAGAGGCAGAGAAGAGAAAGCAGCACACAGGGGTGAAGCGAACGTCGCGGTGTGTGCGGACGCGGTGCAGTCAGCGAATCAGCAGAATACCGCACCTGATCAATTAAGCTGCTAATCACGCCGCAATCACTGGCCACTACCGCCACTACCCATCGGTTGTCCTCCACTATCTCGCGTACCGAGAATCCGATCGCGCGTCTTCGTCCACCGGCATCGTCATCTCCCGCCTCGTTCTCGCCCCGGATCTTTCTCTCTCTCTCTCTCTCTCTCTCTTTCTCTCTCTCTCTCTCCACCTCACAACACGGTCGTCCGGTCGGATGGACGTGAAAACCGATGAATGCCTCCGCGCCCTCAGGTCAGATGCAACGTACGAGGGAGAAGCGCGGCTGATCGAGAGGCCAGAGTCGAGATCGCAGCGGCGGGCGGAGGAGCACCGCGGTGCCGAGGGAGTTTTATGGGCTTGCGCGACCCTCGCACGACTAACCGAGGCCTGGTATCGGGGCTCGCCTGCCACCCTTGCCTCTGCCATGAAAGTTGAGGAGCGGCGCCACGAGCGCGGGCAGAAACCTACCCCTTCGCGGATTCCCTCCTCCGCCGCCACCTCGTAGAGGAGGAATACTGCGCCACGCGCGCAGGCGGCTGTATCGGGCTGGCGCAGAGCGTGAAACTTGCAGACCCGTTCAATCGCAACCACCTGAAAACCCCATCCGTGGGATTTTCGTGCGTTTCCCGGCGATTCGCAGGGAAATAATGCCAACTGTGCGCGCGAGCGGGGAACCCGCATGATATTTCACGCGTGACGTTTCTGTCCTTTCTGACACTTCTGTCAATACAGCGTTTTCTTCTTGTAATGTCTAACGCCCGGGAGAGAGAGAGAGAGAGAGAGAGAGATCCTTCAGCACGTCGCGCGTTACGCCCGTACTACTGTCAGACGCGCGAGTGTCATACGATAAATGTCAGACGTAAACGCGGCTCACTTAAGGAGTGATTTATAAACCGTTGTCGATATCGCGGCTAATAAAGTGTGATTGCGTGGGGTGTACGGCGTCGTGTTACGGCAGGTAACACACAGCCCACAGCTATATTCGCGCAACGGTCCGCGATAAATCCCTGCCAACTCGGGCGCGCCGGTAATTCTAGTCTAGTTCCAAAGAGCAGAAGTTAGCTCACGATGCGTACGACAACATCCGTTGTTTTGTACGCACGTCTCGACTCGTGATAAAATACAAACGCGTTATCCGTCTTCGAGAGATGCTTTTCAGATAACATCTTGGCAAAAATGAGGTAATTGCGGGTGCGTTATTTATCCAATTTTATTTCATTACTCCGAAGAGCACGCGTATTCACGTATTCGTTCATTTGCGTGCGTGTCGTCTTTCACCGATTGTCAATACAGAACTCGCGCGATTAATCGCATACTCAACAAACGTCTGTTCTTTCACATGTCTGCCCTGAGACCGATTTAATATATTATTCAAGTACAAATTGGTCTGTTATCGTGCCATGCTTACTCTCCTCCCGCGGGTTTTCTCGCATCACATTCCTTTTCCTCACGGCTCCTACGAGTTCTTTTTCTCGTGTCTTTCTTTGCGGGGCAACCACCTGTAACTCCTTCGAGACCAGCGTTCCAAACTGCACGCACCCCCGTCCTCGCCTAACCGCGTTTAATTCAATCGCTGTGTCATTCCACACCTTTCATGTTCGGACAGATCACCTTGCCGTGCGGTAATTCATCGCAGAACGATGCACCCATTTTTACGCCGATATTTCATCGCTTAATTGGCGGTTAATTGGCCGAATTAGAGCGATTATAAGGGCGAAGCACGAATTTGACGAGAAAACTCAGCAATTTATATCACTGCATTTTTCATGTTTATCAAAAATTAATATCTGTGAATCGTTCACTACAAAGATTGGGTGCAATTACTTTTACGATTTCCTTTTTAGCGAATTACGTAAGCATTATTTCAATGTACTATTGATTTCTGCGTCAATCCGTGAATATATATATGGAAAATATCTCTCTGCATTTCTCAATTTTACGAGACAGGAGCAACAAGCCGAAAAAAATTTATAACATGTATTTTTATAGAAGCATAAATCTCTCTGCTTTTTAACATCGAAATAATGCAAAACGCACACGAAGATATCAGTGATTAAATGAGTTATTGATCAACGAGAAACACAGGTACTCCATATTACTCGCCACCCGTAAAATAGAAAATGACATATCGACTTCTGGAAAAACAGGGAACGTGTGAACCTGGCAGGAAACGAAAAAAATATGATACGATAGCGATGATAAAATTTACAGTAAATATAAATTTATAAATAACATTCACAGGGACACCGGATATCTCCGTGATGGGATTTGCTCGACGGGTAACAAGTTGGCGTATTCGTATTATCAACCTCTCAATATCACTTTCCAACGAATGTAAACTTGTAATTTCAACTTGAGCGCAACTATTAATGTTATTTAATGTTATGCAAGATTATAATCTTAACATACGTTGCACCTAACATCCATTCGTGCGGACATCTTTTTTTGTTAGTAATCCTTTTATAAACAATGAGGAACAGCTGAAACCATTATAAAAAAAAAAAAACTTATTCAGACGTACAACATATGACAAGGTCAAAGTCATCATCGAGACGGGACTCTTTGCTTCTTTTATCCCCTACGTAGCTGTATCTTTAGTGAGAGATGAAGCCAACGACAGCAATTGCTTGCAAATGCAGATGAGTTCTTACATATTCAAGCCAAGTGCCAAACGGTACTTTCCGTAACAAAGTTTCGACATTTTATCAAGTTTTTATGCTCTAGACGTGTCCACATATAAAATGTAGAGCATTTTCTCTTCAAAATTTCCACCGTGTCTTTTTATCGATCTAATACACGATAACATATCTATGCAATATAAAACGTTTACACTGCAATAAAAAGCGAAAGATAACATTGGTGCAGTATTATTTTTTGCTTTATTTCGTCTCGTTCCTTTTTACCTTCCTCGCGTGAAGAAAAGAAGTGCCCGAGAAACGAGATACAAAGAGAACGAGATACAATGAGAACGTAATTTCAAAAGTCGTCCAGACTCTGTAATTATATTACAGTGCGCGTTTCTCATATTGCCCTATCGGTTCATCTGTAACACTTCTAAAGCATTCCTTTGAACTCAACCTTTTTAACTGCAAGTTAAACAAAGAGTGAAACTCGATTGATGTCATATATATATCATAACATTCTCTTTTAATACTATGACGTTAAAGATATTCAAACTTCAGACACAATCTCTCTCTCTCTCTCTCTGATAAAACAATCGTTATTCGCGAAAATCGTTCGCAGTACTTCCAATATTTTTCATCGTACATCCAATCCATTTTCCACATTTTCCACGATAAAAAACCAAGTCGTCGTGTATGCTTATTAACCGGTACTGATAAAAGTCGACTGATAAGCCCTCGAAGATAAAAAAAATGGATATCAGCGAGATATATGAACGAACCATCATTCTCTCTATTCTGTCCTATACCTTACAGTCTTTTTACCTTGCTATGCGTTTCCTATTTTCTCTTTTGTTCCTCTCGTTTGCGCGATCAACATTACATAGAGGCACACACATATGCGTGCGTGGGCGAGCACACACACATACACACACATATACACTTTGCGTTTCGTTCACTTTATCTGATCTCCTTTTGTGTCAACTCTCTATATCCATCCTCGATCCAGACTCTGTTCGAATCGAATCCTTCTTCGTCTACCTTCCTCTCAAGTTCTTATTTTCTCTCTCCTTTAGTACCTGCCTTTTTCCACCCTCATCTCCTTTTTTCTCCCTGATTTCTCTCCCTCTTTCTCTCTCTCTCTCTCCCTCTTTCTCTCCTTCCCTCTCCCTTCTCCCTATCCAAGAGCGTATCTGGCTAAACCCACTGGAGAGGTTCAGTCGTTGACGCGCCGTGGCACAAGCAACAACCGTGTGAATTTATTATTTTGTCCAGTTAAAAATAAATGCACGAGAAACGTCGAGAATCGGACCGATCTTTTGACGTTTGCATCCGTTTTCTCGTTATTTCCCCGCTTCTGTTTTTCGTACTCGACAGTCGAGTGAACGTTTCGAATCACGTTCGATTCAAATTAAACTTGCAATAGAAACGATGAATATTAAATTGTTTACTAATCGACGTTTCGCGAAAACTTACAAAGGATAAAAAATCGGCACGCAGATTACGTACGTTCGAGCCGGGCGGACCGTATCGTCGATATATCTACTGGACGAACGAACGCTACTGGCTGTTTCTACTGAAAACTCTTGTCTGACTACGACTGAATGTACTACTTGTAATTCTCAACAGGTCGCGCACGGATTTCCGATGTGGAATTTCACGTTCTGTCGCAAAGGTAAGGAAATATTATGTTATGATTTCTTTTTCTTTTCATCATTCTCTTTAAATTGATTCTGTATTGAACGTTTCTCTATTTTATAATTGCGTTTCAACTCTGTATATCTTTCACATTAAAATGATCCTATCTTTCGTAAATTAGAAGAAGTTTGTTTCCGTACAATGTTAACTACAGAGGGAGATTATCTTATTATTTTGTAAACTAAATTTATACGACCAATTACATAATTATTTTACATATAAATGTTGTAATTTTTTAATTTAATAATGTTCGACTTATATTAAAGCCATACGACGGTTGTATGAGGCGATGACGTGGACAAATTCGGGGTTGGTCGGTGTCGATTTATCGGGAGATCAGCCAATTCGAGAGGAGATTACGATAACAGATTGTACAGAAAAAAATTTTGCGGACGTTGCACGTTACCCGCTTATCGGATGTTTGATGTAAGCGATTGTTGACAAGAGACGCGAAGAGGTGAAACGGACGTACACACGATATGAGATTATAGGAAAGCATTTAGATATATTTTATTCTTTCTTATTTCATTTTATTTAACTCATTCCATGTTATCTCTCATGTTATGAAATTAAACAATGTTGATGTCGAAATACGTGTATTCCGTCAATCGCTTCTTTTATATCTTCATCATATTTTTATGAAAAGGCGAAATAAAAAATTTGTTGTGGTTATTTTTATTTTACCACCGCCGAACGATTTGCAATTTATGTCACGTTTAATATTTTGTGAAGATCACAAAATTTGTTTTCCGGATAAGAAAAGATTCGGCCGTCCTATTACGATATCAATGAAATAGGAAATTATACTTTTGGAAAACAACAAAATAAATTTCGTCTCTGTAGATGTTTGCTACATTTCGATTACGTTTTGCATCACGATTGATGTAGCTAATGATGGTATTGATATTTTATCTTTTTTGAAAAATCGCGATTTTCGCATTATACGAAAGGAAAACGTTGAACTGATAAAGCCTACGTTATCATGGTAAAGAAAATCACAAGCTTCTGTTTCGTACATAAAAATTGAATATATTGATTT